TTCATTCTTTAAACGCAAATCATGTTTATGCGAGATAGAGTTAAGAATACCAAGAATCAACCGAAATGCATCGACGTAGTGATGTCTGTAGTATCCTGTTGAGAGTTTGCGTAACTTTCTACGAGCATTGGTAGGTATATATGGCTTATTGTTTAGTGGCATTCTTTTGAAACCCTTCAGTGGAACGATGGTATCGAGACAGGCTTCAGACTTGTAGTAAAGCATATCGCTGGTTAATTTGAGGTCTGTAGTGGTGAGGAATGATCCCCAGTCAATGCACCTAATCACCGGACACATCTGCTGCCAATCCGTTCCACTGTAGTTTCTACATACTATTTGGTACGTAGTGGGGGTACTAATTGAAGTACCTGTTACATGAAGTGGCAGTGCGCATTATACCGTATTGTGATCACTTCCTGGGAACTTGGAGCCTACATTTGTCAAAATAGGATTTATGTTATGGCAAAATACTAAGTCCAATACATTGTCACCTCTTGTAGGAGTTGTAACAGTTTGCTTCCATACAAAAATAGACAGTGTATGGAAAAAGTTGTCACACTTGGCCGGACCAGTAAGTGGATCCCACTTAATTTCAGGTGGGTTAAGGTCACCGCATATGATCTTATGATCATATGGGAGAGTGGATGCATGTTCCAGAGCCGTAATCAGTGGAATCTCATGATTGTTAAAGGCACCAGGTACTCAGTAAACACATCCTTCCAGCGCTGTAGCATTCCTGTAGTGTACTGTGACCCATAGAGAGTCACTTACTTTATCAAGAGCCATATTTTCCAACCTGAATACGGTGAGAGTGTTCAGGAAGTACATCAGGCAACCTCCCCTTTCTTGTTACTCCGGTCACATCGGAGTTGTGTATACATGTCAATACTTATCTCTTCATCTGGTATATTTGCGTGATACCAAGACTCAGTGATAATTATTACCGGCGGCTTATATGTGAGCGCTATTACTCTTAATTCCTATAGTTTACTAAGGACGGACCTCGCGTTTATGAGAACGATGTACAAGTAGGAGGAGTAATATTGTGTAAAGCTTTCTAGTCCGCTAAACAAGCCCAAAGGTATCTCAGTGTCGCTTGACTGAGTACAGTCTGACGTCGCTGCGTTACAAAACGTCTCTGTACCTTGCTCACTTGTAGCTGTAGAGTTACTGGGACATCCTAGTGGTAAATCGACTGCACAGTGACTCGAAATAGTATCACCTTTATCAGGGGAGAACAGAGAAATGCTTTTGTTTGTGTTCAGTTTGCACTTTGTATCCAAACAGACACAGTTTGACCTCATGCAAGCGTCGTCTCTAGTATCTGTCATACAGAGGGTAGGTAGTTTCACTATCGTACGTGGCGAGTGTGTAGGGCTGGTGATGCCACTTGGAGGACTCAACAGACCTGTTGCTCTTTTGCATCTGCTGACACCACCTGGGTAGTTGGTGTCCAGGATTTGTGTGTATGTTTGACTGTGTCTTTTCTGTTGCCCCAAGGGATCTAAGATTGGTGGTTCACAGTAAGGGGTTTCAACATCCCCATCAGTTGTTTGGCCAAAGCTGCAGCTGATAGGGATGCATTGGGTAAAAAATCATCGTGATTTCGTTATCCATGTAAACTTCTGCTCTGTGTTGTATTCCTCACCAGTGACAGCCTTCTGGTACAATTCACAACGGACGTAACTAGCATTATGTTTGATCGGGGTTTGTCTCCCAGTAAACTAGTGCCATACAGGCGGTCAAAGCTTTTCCTCACCAAGCACCCCGCTGACATTATATTTTAGGTGGTTTGACGTTGGCCTTTCTCATTAGTAAACGGTAGGGTTGAGTTGTTGTGACGTCTATTTTTGTTTTCGTTACTAGTGAGACTTAGCTCAGTGTATAGAACCTTCTCGGTAGAGCTACTGTTCGTACTTCTGTCAATTCCAGAAGGGATTACGGGATCACTTTGGATCATCATATGCTCTCTGCGCCCGTCTCTGCGTGTTGGGTTCCATGAGAGCATCTGTTTATCTGTTGCATATTGAGCGGCCGATACCCTAGGACCTAGGCTGGTATGGTTAATAGACTTTAGGCCTCCAGTAGACCTCAGCGAGAGTTCTGTCACGTTTAGTGCCGTGTGAGGTTTCACTTTGGGACTTTCTATGGATACGTCTAGATCTACAGTTTCAGGTGGTTGAGTCAAATCATGCACTTCTCAGTCTTCCATCTCCACTTTGGTCGGTATGTTTTTCCGTATATTTGACTTGATAGAGTTTGTGGAAGGAGAAGTCCTAGGCTTGGATATATTGGGGGAGATACCTACTGCTTTAGCATGTTGCAGCTTTGGAGCCTTTTGACTGTCAGGTCTATGAGCACAGTAGTATACCTGCCTCTCCACCACTGTTTACCTTTATTTCTGTGAAGACAGTGTTTTTTACCAACATAGATTCCGCTTTGATGAATGCTTCAGCTTCTATCTGTGATTTAAATTGAAAGCGTATCGGACAGCAGTGGTCCTGCTGGCTTTTCTTTAGTCGAAAACACCTTGCTTGGACATCATGCATTTTTGCTGTTCTAAGCAAAATTTCTCGTACCGCCTTCAACTTTGTCGTGTCAGGGACGCTATAAACTGTTGTGTTCAATTTAAGTGCAAGTCCTTTACTTACTTCAGTGGCGATAAAGTTTACAGGTGATCTACCTTGGGTAGTGTTTCGATGTCAACTTCAATAATGGATTTACTAAGCGTCAAGATGCTCATTGGTAATAGGTTGCTGATCTGAGCTCTAATTTCATCCAGCTGGGGTGGCCCTCGAAAGCCCTTAGCATGCCTTCTTGTGGTGCATCATTCTGTTTGTCTTCCTTCAGTCTGCCTATTTCTGCCTTTAGTTCCCTTATGGAGGACTTCAGGCTTCCGATTTCCGGAAGAAGTGACAACGACACACTTGGTGGCTGAAGTCTAGTTAGTCTCACAAAAGATGTGGAGCTTCCATTAAGCTTTACGTCTGCCGCAACATTTAGTGTTGCGGTCTTATTACCTGTTGGTCATGCAGAGATATTTCTATTATTATTAACGTTGGCTGTTTTATCTTACTTAGTTCTCTTTCTCTTGAGCATAACTGGAATATAAGCTGACTCCCTTATGCTGTTGCAAGAGGAATCTGCTTCTGATGTCACCAACATTTGGGTGTTGTTGATGCAATGTTCCACAGATAGTTGTGGCCGTGCCTTTTTATATACATTAGCCATATCTAGTTGCGTGTCTGATATGTGATTAGTCACTTGAGAATTCAGTGACTTTATGATGGCGTTAATAACAAAGTTATGATACAGTTACAAAATCACGTTAAAATGCAACACAATTTCAAACGTACCGCTTTTGGCAATACACACCCTTCCCACACAACCATGCCGGAACGCCCGGGACGGATAGTAAATGACAAAACTGAAACTGGTTCCGGTTATCCAGGACATGCCTCTTGAGTCTACGCAGTGTTACACTTCATGCGTTGACAACTGAGTGCCCTCTCCTTGGAACCCATCCTAGTGCTTCACAGGGCATAAAACTAGGCCACCCGGGGGCTCACCGCACCACCACATCTGGCAACAGAAGCACGCCTCCCGGAAAAACCCACAGCTGAGCCACCACAGATTATTGTGGGGATGTGGCGAAAATCATACAAGGATAAACCAAACGACCTGGTAATTTACCTTCTTAGTCGCCACAAGTTGCATGGTGGCTTGGTAACTGGATGCGGGATACTCAACAATTCAAGTCACCGGAACAGCAAAATTCTCCCAAACGGTTACAATGTCAGTCTTCGTGGAGATTTGAAAGGAATTCCCATCAACGGGCGATGACCCTTGTGCTTTCACACTTCCCTTGTTTCCGAGTCTGGGGCCCCTGAAATGTCGCCACCACTCCACCTTTCGGAGCTTCGAGGAAAGTTTGGAAACCTGGCCGGGAACACGTGGTTTGCAGTCATCTATTCAGGCTACGAACTAGCAGCTGACTGAAGCCGCATCAATCCAGCAGTCTATTGCCCTCATACTGATTTCCTTTTGGCACCACCACTGTTATAGTTTCCATTAACTTCTCCCCAATAGACATCATAACTCTCCAATCATCGCTAGTGCTTTCCCCCTTATCCTTACTGAAATTTACCTTTTTTCCTTCCTTCCCTGCAGTGTAACTACGTTAACTGAACTTCTCTGTCTTTCCTGAATGTCCCAAGACTTGTCACTGGATTTCGCATTTCTTCCTTCGTTTATATCTCATTTTCCTTTCTTTTCCCTAGTTATCTTCCGAATCTTCCTATTTTAGGATTTGTCCTGGTGCGAACTTGACAGACGCAAAAACCAATCACTAATTATTCGGACTTGTTGTATGCCCACGAATACGAGACCGAGGAAGAACATGATAGCGTAGTCGGATGGAATAGTATATTTGGATGGTTGTACCAAAATACTGATGCGTTCCAACTAACTGGCTAGAGAGTCGAATACGAGTAATGCAACGTAACACGACAGCGTGCCAAGTGGCGAGGATGCTTGACCGGGTGCCTTCAGCTTAGCGAGTCCAGTTAAACTATCAAGGTCAGCATCAATGTCGAAAGTCGTCAAACCCTAGGCTATTGATTTTGGGGAAGTGTGTGATGCTACACTATCATTAGTTTACGACCAGTCTAGCCAACACATCCTTTGATGAAGCCATTCGCACCCGAGTCCTAGGACAAAACACACACCTCCATACAAATTTAACCAAGATTTAACCACTTCTCATGTTTATCAGAGTTACTGGAGGCGAGTATTTGGATCCACTGCATCAGAATCCATCAAAGGTCTTAGACAGTTCTGTAAGACTTAAAAGAGAACGCGAAGAAATCAACTGCCTTATGCAAACTCTTAAAACAGATATTGAGTTCCATATTGGCTATACCCACTTATTTGTCACTACTGAGATATGCATGAACAATTTTGTTTGAAATTACCAATTCATCTCCTCCCTACACTATAGATAACTGTACAAGTTTGACGCCACAAAATGCAATCTCGCTCATACAAAGATGACTGCGTAATTGTAAGTTGATAAAACTAAGCCCCTCACTTGTAGTTTGATGATGACTTTCCTGGATATTCAGTAAACACTTTCAGTTTGGCTGACAAGTATCAAAAGTACATAGAGAGTATAATCGTGCCAAATGGCATGATCAAAGACAGGTATGTTGAAGTATAATAAATTGAAGGAATTTATAGAATTGACAAGATGGCATTTAACATTCTGAAAACTTTTAAGTCGAATGGCATTTGTTCAATCAATATGCTATGCGTTCTTAAGGGTGGATTCAAGTTTGCCTCTGATTTGAGTGAGAAGTTACACAGCATAGCAGTTGCACAAAATATAAATATTCCTATTTTCATGGACTTTATTGTTGCTAGCACATATATTGTAAGCTCCATATGGTTCATAATTTCAGAACGATAATGTCGGACATGAAACTCGATTGCATTCATATACTGATCTATCGTCTTACAGAGACAAGGTAATTATATATAGTACTACAAAGAATAATTTCAGAATATCCTCATTATCGAAGACTTGGTTGATTCAGGAACTACTCTTAAGAGGCTTCTGTCTCACGTTCAATCTTCCAAACCTCGTTCTGTTCACGTTGCTTGGTAAATAAGTCAATGTAACTGTTCTTTCTTGAGAGGTTTTTATTGGTATACTGGCGACAAAATTCTTACAGTTGATATATCATAAAAAATTGAGGTTTTGTATGTATTCTTAACCATCTCAACTAGTTTCTAGTCCAATGAAGTATTGCATCACCTGGATTTCATTACTCTGTTAATTCAGTTCAATAACAGAGTACTAACTTCAACATTTTTAAGTTTGCTTTGCTGAAGACACACTGTTTAAGATGCTTTATGAATACCACCAACAAAATATAGTTTCTTTGATGCCTAGAAGCATGACTGTGCTCATGTAACGCTTCAAACCTGTACTAAACAGTATTTTCCTTTGTCCGTGAAATAACTCTGGTATATATTACAAGGTCAGTACAAAAGGTCAAAATAGGGCAGTCAAGCTGACTTATAAACGGAAAAGTAGCTGACCAAAAGCATTAACTAATCTTCAAAACAGTAAGAGCAGTATGTAGGTGGAATAAGCTGGTCAGTTTGGCTGCATATAAGTCGGTTTTCATTAAAGGTGACAGCCAATTTCTAACTGCCTCTACTGATGAATATTTGAACTGACAGTGCTGTTGCAGGAATCTGGTGACAGACAAAAAAGTTAACTTTGTGTTTAGTGGTGTCAACTGTAAATTTTCGTGGTGTTGTTCTCATCTGTGTTTGTTTTAAATCAATCCTTTTTACAGTATTATTCGGTTTTGTTAGTCCCACATTTTGAAATCAAATCTAAGAATCAGATTTCTCTGATGTTAACCTGACCACATGCTGACACTTTTAAAGATGTCATACTACACTGAAGTTGTGTTTTGCTACGTGTAATCGGGATGGAACCCATGTAGCACTTTTAGATTCGTACTGCTCAAATATATATTGTAAAACCTTGATATGAAAACGTATCCAGATTAAAAAGGGATATGCTGAAACTGTTGTTGTGCTATTCCAGTGTTTGTCTTATTCGTTTTTGAAGATGAATAAGCTTAAGAGATGCACCCCAAAAAAGGCAGTTGAAATAATGCGTAGAAACTTCAATAGTAAAACTATTGGAATTACTATAGTCGTCCGTACAACATACCTTCTGAGTCACTGAGATGGATGTACGCAATGTTTCAGCATATATTTAGAACGCAAGTTTACCAAAACCATAAGTATCACAAGTACAGTTAGCTTACTCAGAAGAATCACGTAGAAATAACGTGAAATTTGGCCACACTGAAACAAGGCACCAGTGCATGAAACCGCTGACTGTTCGTTTGGAACTTGTAGGGCGATGCACACTGATCGATTGGGTCCACGGGACAAGAGGAACCAGCGGTTGCAGACTCTAGATGGTGAAATGGACCAGGACCGATGTCAGTGGTGTAGATACATATACACATTATCGTCATCTTAACCGCTATACTTCATCCCACCATTTTCTCACTCCCTTCCTCTCTTTCACTACTCCCTACTTCTACCTCTTTGACCAATTTTTCTGTCCTTGTTGACCTTCAATTTCATTACCTTGTTATTTGATATGGTGATATGAGATGTGGCAACTTGGACTGTTTTGCAGAATGCCTCGTCCTATGTTGCTTTTAATGGTGATGATGAAAATAGCGTCTTTGGGATTAAGCTTAAGAGGATCTCACACATGTTGGTGTATTCTGTTTTAAAGGTTGCCAAGATGCCAATAACTCGGAATCTATAAATAATCAACTTTCTACTTTTAATTGATATCTGTTAGTTGCATTTATCTTCACCTTGGGTCATTTGTTTCTTCGATGGATTTTATAAACTCAGCCTTATCAAAAAACGGAGCTAACATTAAACTTATACACTGTTAAACATTCATTAAAGCATTTGTCGTTTATCAATCAGCATCAGTATAATCTCTTTATTTCTCAAGTAGTCTCTGGAGTCCTTGTTGTGTTTCTAAGTTGACATAAGTTATGTTGATAAAGTTGTAAGACCTATTAATGATTGTTGCTCTGAACAGCTAGAGTCGAGAATACGGAGAATTCCAAGCAAATGATCATTTCTGTTAGCTAGCTGGATGTATTTTCATTAGTTAATATGCACCTGTAAATTACCACTTAATGACTATACTCAATCCTTACGCTTAAGTGAAGACATATTTCAGCTTCATTTAAGGAAGAGAAAAGAGGAATATCACATAGTGCTATCCTAAATCACTTGTTTGAATGTCGTCACCTTATTAGTCTAGAAAATAACTTTAGTTTCATCTATAGTGTTCGTTCAAATGGCATAAGTTCACGACTATTCTTTATATACATCACCAAGCAACTTTACTCTATGTCAAAACAGAAACTGGTGATAGGTTCAACACCCTTCGGCTGAATATGAAGCAAATCTAGTTTGTCTCAACTAACCTTATGCAATGTTTCACAGCATCATGTATCAGCTTACTTAAATAGTAAGAGCTATTCATTATTTTGGTATTTTTATTCCCCCAATGAGTGTGAAACAAAATAAGTTTGTCTCCAATGAGTTTTCGCTATTTAGTGCTAATAGCCTCATTGAAGTTATAGTAAACCGGAACTTACAGTATCCCCTAACCTTGTATATGATAACTTGACAAGTGTTCTTCTACAGGAATGTTTCTGTGTCGTCACAATTGTAGAATAAAGATGATATCCATATGAAGTGTGTGAACTACAGATTGTGATTTATATGTACACATCTTGTCGTATCTATGTTGGTTATGTCAGTAGTTGGGGATGGTTTAAGACCAGATCAGACTAAGTTTTACTCTCTCATTCCTGTTTAGACAATCTTGATTCCACTTAATGTGAACAGATTCTGCTATAGGAAGTTCTCTATAATTTCTAAAGCCTTTTTGAATAATTTCGATATCATCGAAATCAAACTTGTGACCCAAAGTTATAGCATGTAGAGCAATAGTGTTGGTGTGTTTTCAAGTTTTTTTCAGTTCTAATAGATTTCTAGGTGGGTCGAGTGAAAGCTCTTCGCTGTCCACTTTTTTCTAATTTTGATCTCATGAAAAGTTTGTCCTGTATATATGGGATTGTATTTTAAGCGTTTTATTGAATATACAGTCTGTGAATCTAAAGAGATCTTTGTCCTTCGAATGAACTGAGGTGCTCTGAAATGTGTATGATGTTCTGTAGAACACTCTGACAATATCGTATTTGTTGAGCACATTATGAATTTCATCCGATATGTGTGATCTGTACGAGATAACTATTGTTATGGCCCATTATATAGAAGTAGTTCTACGATTTAATATGATGTTATTTTCTATTTCGCGAATAAATTTTACCAGATATTTATTCATTCAAACCATCAGAACCCTAACTTAATTTGGATATCTGTAAACTGAGTAGGAGCTATCATTTGAAATCAATAATAGAGTCGCTGGTGTGGCTGAACCAGTGACAAAACTCTTGAAAATTCATTCATGATAAAAGGATTATTCGAATATGCCTAGGAAGCCCATTTTTCATGGATAAGAACAGGACACGTATCAACGAAGAAATACTACTCTTCAACGAATTCATCATCAACCTGTACATTCATAGTATATATAATCAATAAAATGACACATACTTACACTAAAACAGTTGCTCAGTCAACATACACAAAATACAACTAGTGTTCATGATGGGATTCGTTCATGTCAAAGAAATATAAAATAGGTCACTGAATAAGAAGGTGAAATGAGGCATAAGTAATGTCGAAGAAGTGTAAAATGATGATAATTTAACTGAAGCATAGAAAATGGGTCAATGGATAAGGCACAAGTGGATATTATAAAGTGGAATGTGGGTCGAATGCTGACACGGTGGATGTTGAAATTCAAATTTTCAGGACAACGCAATCTAACAACGGACACCCTGAAGGATTATCTGATAAAAACCTGAAGAAATGAATCAATCTTCATCCTGTTACAGTTTCTAAGAAAATCTTAACCATGAATTTGGAATTGAAAGGGGACATCACAGCTGAAGTGCTGAAAAGCCGTCTGTCAAAGACTATAAATAGTAGCTTTTATGCTGCTAAACTGAGATTGATTTCGTCAAGCTATCGTGAGATTCCACAATGAGTGAAGGATAGGCTATCACTTGTGTTCACATCTGTATGTGTATCTATAAATTCACATGGTTTTGAGGGACTGACTACATTGGACATGTTACTGAACTTTACCCGGTTTGGTTTACCAAAGGTGAGTGAAGTAAAACATCTTCATCCATATGTGAACACCTAGCTGAGTTAGGCTATTCAGTTCCTCAAGATTCATCCTTTAAAATAATTTACAAGGATACATTCAACTAATCCAAAGGTTTGTTTTTCCATGACTTATACACAGCTGAAGCACTGACTATGCATGAACAAAAAACCGAAACTTCGCCTTCAGTAACATTTTGTGGAATGGCTTTCTGTACGTTGGTCTTTAACAATTAAATTATGGTTATTTTGCCAATTTGATTTCACTTCACTTGTGTATATTTCTCGTTTATTATCATCAATATCACAATTTTTGTAACTTCATTGACCCATTTTCAATGCTTCAGGTAAATTGTTATCGTTGTACACTTCTTCAACATTCCTTGTCTCTTATCTCACTCACTTGTCATCAATTTATCCTTCTTTATTCGGTGAATCATTTTCTATTTCTTCCACGTGAACAAATCCCACCACCTACATCGATTGTATAATTTGCATATTGACTGAGCTAGTCTCTTTTTAGTGCAATTATGTGTCACCTTACCGATTATAAATACAATGACTGTACAGCTTGATATAATGAAGTCGTTGAAAAGAAATGCTTCTTCTTTGCTGATACATGTCTTGCTCAATTTTTCTTCATTGGATCATAAATATTGGGAATTCTTAGGCTTTCTCCAAAGGAGTTGCATTGTTAGCTATTCTTATGTTAAAACATTACATAATTTATAATGTTCTATTTGGTGAAACATTTTACGGACATTTTTATTATGTTGGTAATTTTGACAGTTACTGCATTTAAGATATCAGTGGCCAGTCAAATGCATGAATGTTGTCAAGATAGACTCATGATAATGAATAACTAGATAATTAATCGATAATTTTCTTTTGGACTGTAAACCTAAAATGCCTGAAAACATCCTTTTATGCCGGTAACCATCGTGTTTAAATCTATCCCCACCGCCCCCCCCCCCAAACCTTTATCAAAGCATATTTATAAGAGTCATTGTTAATGTTAGTTAGATGGAAGTAATCGACAAGAAACTCTATTCCCCTCTGGGTTTCATACTTTTTGGCACCTCTCAGGAAGCAGTATCTACATTCTTTGCAGGATTGATGTTTTACTTGGGGTTCGAACCCGCGTCACCCAGAGTTGCAGTCAGAGACGCTTTTATTGAGCTGTTCGGGTTACGATTAACATGAGTTCATCACGTTAGTGAGTCTCCTATTCTGCTTGCTGCATTACACAATCATCAACAGAATTTGGTGAGCACAGCATTAACAGTAGAGCGTGAGGATGTTCAGCGCTTTGAACACTCCATCAGCCTGAGAAGTCGGATCAGTCCTGGTGCTATGGTCAGTGACCGACAAAATCTCCGCACATATACAAAAGTCTTGGTTGACTCTTGCCAGTTTACGTCATCTGTGGTGCCGCTGCGACATACGTTTGCCGATTAAAGATTGAGTATAGCGTATTGCAGTTCAGTCTCTTCTACTGTATGGCTGTGTAACATGACCACTAAAGGCAGAAAACACGAGAAGGATTCAGGTGTTTAGTCACCCTTAACCTAACTTCGCTAGGTGTTCATACAGAGATGAAGTTGTTTTACTTCACTCACATTTGGTAAACCAAACCGGATAATGTTCAGTAACACGTCCAATGTAGTCAGTCCCTCAGGAGCATGTGAATTTATAGATACACATACAGATGTGAACATAAGTGGTAGCCTATCCTTCACTCATTGTGGAGTCTCACGATGGCTTGACGAAGTCAATCTCAGTTTAGCAGCATAAGAGCTACTATTTATAGTGTTTGACAGACGGCTTCTCAGCACTTCAGCTGTGATGTCGCCTCTCAATTCCAAATTTTATGTCTCTATCTTGGAAATTATTATGGGTGGTTCCTGTAGTTTTCAATTTCTGAGTTACTATTAGTTCTGTTTGTAAATTCGATAAATGTTTCAATGTTTTTCTTAGTGTTAATGTTTTGATGGGATACTAGAAGATTTAAAATGTTATCTTAATATAATTGAAGATGGATAATATTGAATGAAAAACCTCAGTCTTACCAAGACTTAGACCAGTGACATTCATCAATTTATAAATTGAAACTATAAACTTTAACATTGAGGTATTTCGAGGAAATTGACAATAACTTATATATGAATTTTGTAACTTCACCTTTTTTATTGATTGGTTCTTAGTTTATTGGTAAAACGAAGATCAGACTGTTCACAGTTCCCAGTAGATTGTGAGTTTAAACCTCAGTTTTTCATAAATATGGTATATTGTTGTTTGATTTGCTATTTTGTACTGTATGAGAATGATAATGTTTTAATACTGATCTTGGCGACTAGCATTAGAATCCATGATGCTCATTTCGTCTTCTTTAGGACTAGTCAGATGGATATGCCTTTACTCCAGTAAATGATCTGATCCCCAATGAAACTGGAACTCAGTACGCATCGCTTCAAACGCCAAAGCATTATCTACTAGGCCATATATGGTCGAATCGCTCCACCTCTCTCGATATTGCTGAGTATTCATGACATTGTTTTCATCTTGGTAAACGGACCACATTATCAATGGTTCCAAACACCATAGATTCGAGTATCAGTGGGAACAACCTCACTCACTGGAGGGCAGGTACATCCATCTGACGAGTTAGAAATAGGACGAAACACACGTTCTGGATTCCACTGCCAGCCACTACAATATAATAAATATCCAGGCAGTATTAAGGCATCCACATAGGGGTCTGTCTCTCAAAAGAGGTCGGCGACTTGACTCTTATTGGATAAACTATGTCTCCGTATTATTTTGTTAAAAAATCATCGTTAACGGGAGAATGTCTGTATGTCTTTATCCTAGAATGGGCCTAATATGTGCTTTACTTTGTAGTCAAAGTACTAAACCAAACACGAATGCCTACTTAGAAGTAAACAAGCAATCTGTAAAATATCCTCCGATAGGTAGTGATGGATTATTTTCATTTAAGAGTGCTCATACATTCTTATCGGTTGAAAAGAAAGTCGAAATCCAGTCACCAACCTTATAGTAGATTCGTTCAGTCGGCAATTATCCACACCTATTATATGTGACAGTTAGCGATACTACCTGGCTACCGAAACCTCGATAAGTGAAACAGCCCTCGAACCCATAACTTATTGGTTAGAAGTCATCTCCCTCAACCAATAAGCCACAGTACCATACATTTCACTGGTGAAATACAAAAACACAAAGATATGACCGATTAAGGTTGTTAGTCTTACAATCCTAATCTTTACAAGTTTCTAGACGGCTTACATACCAACAGAGACTTCTCAAGTATCAAGTAGGTATTTATCTATCATGCCGTTGAACTGTAGGTTGATGCACTACTGAAACAAGTGAACAGTAAATAATTATGGTAGTATGTATATTTATTGGGATTCACTTGTCTGGTCAATAACCCAGTCCAAGCCTATTTTCTTCCATTGTCTATGGTTGCAATTAGTAATGAGTTAGTGACAGGATTTGGTAAACCAGATTATTTCGTTGAATTAAGTCTATACGATCTTTTCATCATAGAACAGAGTATAGAATGGCAGTCAACTCTCTACCTCAACTTCATCGACTTTGAGAAGGCCTTTGACAGCGTCAACCGAGAAGTAATTTGGCAGTTGCTTCAACACTACGGAATACCACAAACCTTTATCAATCTCATTCAACAACTATATGAAGATGCCACATGCCATGTAATTCACAATGGGAAGCTGAGTGATGCTTTTGAAGTGAAGATAAGAGTGAGACAAGGTTACCGCCTACTATCACCTATCATCTTCCTGATTGTGGTCGACTCGACTCGACTCGACTGGATGATGCAAGAAACTGTGAGGAGCGAGAAGAGGGGGATACGCTTGCTGGACTGGGGAAAAGAACCTATAAGATTTATATTTCGCCTATGACTATGACTATGTGTAATGTGACAGAAACTTGAAGAATTACAGGTGAAATGCAAGAAGTTGACAGAGGAGGCAGGTGAGTGAATGAGTATGGGACTTCAAGTGAATGTAGAGAAGACAGAGGTGATGAAGATGCCCAACCATCAATAACAACAAACACCAATCATCATCAACGGGAGAAATTTGAAGGAAGTTGGCTCTTTCACCTACACCGACCTAGGCAGGCCAGCATCGTTTCAACTACAGGCGACACAGGCACGGATGAGGACGTCAAAGAAGCCAGGGTAGGAAAGACAGCAAGAAAGGCCTTTCTGCATTAATCTGAAATCAATCAGTGTGGAGATCTATTGCACTCAGCATAAAGCGTGTATAATTTCCGGATTTTCAACACTAATATAATGTCAGTCAAATAAGTCAGTGCTTTCATGTGATGGTTGAGAGACTTGGCGCGTTATGAAAAGCATTTCCAACAAACTTCAGACATGAATCACATGAACAGCTGTCGCCTACGCTCGCTCAGTTGATGCTGAAGATGGAGATCAGATGGCAAGAATAAGCAAGGAGGAACTCTGGTTGGTTGGCAACGAACTAATCAACCAAGAATCTATCACCAAACAGATATGCAGTAGAAGAAAGTGACGATAGATTGGACTGCATATAGACTGAAAAGACGTTTTGGGGACATCACGTACCAGATCAGGCTGTCGAATGGAAATCAACTGGGAAACGACGAGTTGGGCGTTCCAGCTGAGGGTGATATGAAGGAGATGGTATGAGAAAGAAATGATAGGTTGTAAGCATTGATGAAGATAGGTTGAAAAGACTTCAAGGAGGAGAGTGAAATGCTAACGTACTATTGAAGCCGTATATTCCCCCCAAGGAACTCAAGAGACATATAAAATTAATAAAATATTAGAAGAGTCTAGTTGAAAACTTGATAATACGTTTTACACAAAATCCTTATTCATTAAGTATGAAATTGTTTAACTACTTGTAGATACTTACCTGTTCCTGAAGCATTTTGATTTCTGATATATTTCAATCCCATTTATAGAGTATTTGACTTCTGACTATAGAACAGAAGACTGTGAGGCAAATGCCTCGTTAGTTTCTTTAGCCACATACTGAATTTCATCAAATTATATATTACAAGTGTAACAACAATGTGATATAAAATTTTGTACAGATTAGTGGATTTACAATATTCTTGTATAATTTCCATAGGAGAACTACATATATAACTCTTTCTATAAATGTGTATTGAATCAAAGTAACAAAAACTTTTTATACTTTTTCTATAGTTGTTGGCTTTGAAATTCCAAACCGATTTATTGTTGGATATGCCATAGACTATAATGATTTTTTTCGGGATATTCCTGTAAGTGAAATTCAGTTTTGTAAATTCATTGTCTGAATTTTATACAAAGGTTATTCGACCAACTTTAATTACCCCACTAGCAATGACTGAAGTAGTGTATACAAGTTAAATATAATCCTTTCTAATTTGTCTTAATCATTGATTATCTCAATCTTCAAGAGACATATAAAGTACTCTCTTGTGAAAACCACAGAAGGATCAGCCTGATTAACGTAGTGTTTACGGTTCTAGATTCAATAATCATTAGATGCCTAATTAAACCAGGCAGGCTTCAGACGTGGTTGCCGGTGTATCGACTAAATATTCACACTATGCCACGTGGTTGTGGAACACAATCACGCTTAACTGACGCCCGATAATAACTGTATATCTCGATTCCATCGATCCACAAATATTATGTCAATGTCTTTCACTGTAAAGGGTATCGAGTAAGTACATCGCCTTATTGAAGGCTCTTTACTCGAACACCTGAGGACATGTTAAAGCCTATGGTAAGATGTCGGATAAGTTGTGTATCCCAAATGGTGTCTGTCAAGGATGCCCACTCTCTTCATTTTTATCATAGATATTCTCATGGAAGTCTCCCTCTCATCTGACTACACAGGGACTGACCTGATCACACGAGAATTTTCGGTAGACCTAGACACTGACAAGACTCCGAGTCTTTTGTACATCTTTAGTGGCAGTTTGAGAATGCTTGAGATGCGTTTCTCACCACCCAAATGCAAATTGTTGCTTCAGGACTGGTCTTCAGTGGTGCTGCGGTTAACAATAGAGAGTGAAAGTGGTTGAGAGTGTAGAACACTCCACCAACCTGGGGAGTCAGATCAACCCTGGTACGTTGGTCAATGGCCGACGAAATATCTGCATGGATACAAAAGGTTTGGTTGTCTTTTGTCAACTTACACCATCTGTGACATCGTCACGATATTTGACTGCCTATTAAGCGTCGAGTATACTGTCCTACAGTTAGCTCTATCTTACTATATGGCTGTGAAACGTGATCATCAAAGGTAGAAGACTAAAAGTGTTTGTAATTCCATTTAAGTCGGTTTATTAGAAGGAACAGTATCATTTACTGGATAACGTTTCGGACAGAATTTATTGTCCATATTCATATGAGGTAACCCCACAACGTGGAGATAGACTTTATTTATATATTCCTAGTTTTCTCTCCTTCTCTGTGATGATAAGGGTAGTAGAATTTTTCCTATATCTGAGACAGGTGCAGAATCATTTCTATTACTGTGTATATTTTGTGTTGATTCGATAAACAAAGACTCACTCGATTATCAATCTCTCACTCCCTTCAACCAACTAAATTAGTTTTCAGTGTTGTCATTCTATCCCATTTTGTTGTCTAAGGGCGTACAGAGCTATAGCCGAGCGTTTTTCTAAATTTCCTATCTTGTTAGGATCAGGTAATCTTGATTTAGCCAAGCTTTTGTGCTCTGTTATCTTAATCGACCCTGGTCAACTACTTTGACCTATGTATTTAACCTCGCAATCATTGCAAGGGATTTGGTAAACCAGATTATTTCGTTTAATTAAGTCTATACGATCTTTTCATCATAGAACAGAGTATAGAATGGCAGTCAACCCTCTACCTCAACTTCATCGACTTTGAGAAGGCCTTTGACAGCGTCAACCGAGAAATAATTTGGTAGTTGCTTCAACACGACTGAATACCACAAACCTTTATCAATCTCATTCAACAACTATATGAAGATGCCATATGCCATGTAATTCACAATGGGAAGCTGAGTGATGCTTTTGAAGTGAAGACAAGAGTGAGACAAGGTTGCCGCCTACTATTATAGATCATCTTCCTGATTGTGGTCGACTCGACTCGACTCGACTGGATGATGCAAGAAACTGTGAGAAGCGAGAAGAGGGGGATACGCTTGCTGGACTGGGGAAAAGAACCTATAAGATTTATATTTCGCCTATGACTATGACTATGTGTAATGTGACAGAAACTTGAAGAATTACAGGTGAAATGCAAGAAGTTGACAGAGGAGGCAGGTGAGTGAATGAGTATGGGACTTCAAGTGAATGTAGAGAAGACAGAGGTGATGAAGATGCCCAACCACCAATAACAACAAACACGAATCATCATCAACGGGAGAAATTTGAAGGAAGTAGCCTCCTTCACCTATCTGGACAGCACTGTTTCAACTACAGGTGGCAGAGACGAGGACGTCACAGCAGCCATGATGGGAAAAGTAAGACAGGCGTTCATTAGCCTGAAACCAGTGTGGAGATCTTCTACACTCAGCATGTGGAACAAGTTTCGGATTTTCAACACCAACATGAAGTCAGTGCTCCTGTATGATTGAGAGACTTGGCGCGTTACGAAAGAGATTTCCAACAAACTACAGACATTCATCAACAACTGCCTACGCTCACTCAATGCTGAAGATCAGATGGCCAGAATAATAAGAATCAGCAACAAGGAACTCTGGCTGACTGGGCAACGAACCAACAAAGCAAGAACCTGTCGCTCAACAAATATGCAGTATAGGGAAGTGGAGATGGATTGGGCATACAGTGAGAAGGCCGACTTGGGACATGACGCACTAGGCCAGGCTGTAGAGCGGAACGCCGATGGGAAGCGACGAGTCGGGCGTGGCAGCTGAGGGTGACATTGAGGAGATGATGTGAGGAAGAAATGAGAGCTTGTGGGGAGTGGTGGAGCCAGGTTGGAGAGATTTCAGAGAGAAGAGAGTGGAATGGAGACGTGCTAGTGAAGCCGTATGTTCCATTAGGAACCCAATAGACATATAACAATATAATAATAATAAGAGGATTTTTTAACCTAGAAAGCTTGATTTTACGTGGGTTTGTTGGTTTTAAGTGGCACTATAAGCCCATTGTCATTGAGAATTCTTCGTAGTGCCAGAAACAACTGGTTTTCTGGCCCGTTGCTGTACCAAGACCTCAGGCTGCAAACCGGTGGTCGCTGGTTCGAATCCGTCCGCGGTTCAAATTTCCATTTCACCTTCTATCACCACCCAGTTTAAATACTAGCCTACCGAACGGCGGCTATCTCAGATAGTGAAAATGACAATAAATTTCTAGTTAGACTTCCTAGAGGAAAAAATACTCCAAAAGAATCAGATACGCCTTATTCGAAGAGACTAGTTTGCTGCGCATGCCCAGCTACCACCAACTTGGATTTGCAATGCTACTAGAGGTGGGTTCAGGGTGGCTAGACCAAGACGTGGTGCTGATGCACACAGTCCCTGACTGTTGGTCTATATCGTATAGGGAAGTGTAGACTACTTGGCTGGAGTCAGCAAGACGATAAGAATCACTAGTTGAAGACTCTCGGTGAAATAGCCAAAATCGGTCACATTGGTACACAGGTATTCACATCTTAAAGTCTAATAATGCTTGATTGTTCTGAATAACCTTCATTTTTCAATTCCTTCTTATCCTATACACCTACTATCTACTTTGATATCAGTCATTTTACACCCACTTGTTCTTTGTATGCGAGGTTCTAAGTTGATTTTATCTGTCTGTCTATCTATCTATCTATAAGCCAGTCTGTTTGTCTATCCATCTGTCTTTCTATCATTATGAGTTGTATGTTACAGATTTTGAAAATACAAATGTGTTGTTAAACGCAATCTTAATTTATCCTTATTTCCCCCCCCCCCCCCCCCATATATTTTCACTTTAGCACATATGTTCCATAAATAATGAAGCGAAGAAACTGTTTGCTGTATCTAACGTAAGTACAGAAAAATAGGTGAGAAAATCCATTGAAAACATTCAAATACAACCCTGTTCACTGAATACTTCAAACTGTTAAATATCTTTCCCATATATATATATATATATATATATATATATATATATATATATATATATATATATATATATATATATATATATATATATATATATATATATATAGACTAGAGTATGTCATTTTGATTAAGGAAATATTACTTATATAGTTTTGTATAATATTCTTGTTTGAATAAAGTTTATGAAATAACTTCCTACTATTAAACTGTAATATGTAATCCAGGTTTGCAGTCTATTCTCTTTCAATTCATGATTATCAACGTGTCTTGTAGTCAATTTAATGTTGATGTAACATAAAATGGATTCGAAAAAAGAAAAAAAAAGAAAATTGAAATTTTCTAATTTCTGATTATTTTAAACTTCATCAAGCAAAAAATGACTCCCTGATAAATTTGAACTATGCTATGGTTTAAACTGAAAGATTTTTAATAGTTTCATCATATTATTATTTGTATTTAGTTATACTTGAAGAGTATTTCTAAGATTCATATTGTTACAAAACTGAAGGTTAGTAGGAGAATCCAGTACGTGCGTGTGCGTGTGAATGCCTTGATATTACCTGTATTTTAATGATATTCTAATTACATCTAGTTGATGAGTCCCAAATGGAACGAAATGCGCACTCTGGATTCCACTGCTAGCCACTGCCTATCATTACTATACATAACTGAAACACAGGCAATATCGAGGCATCCGCACAGGAGCCCATATACCAACAATGACTGATCAATTCGATCCAATCAACGATGGTGTAATACAAGCAATTATGCAAAAACTATACCCGTCATACTACTCATATTTATTTAAATCTCAAGAGTATTTCTAAGATTCATATTATTATAAAACTCATAGCTGTTACCAGTTAAACGTCATGTCAGATGAAATTTCTATAGAACTAAACTTTACTAGCAACTAATCAGGTTGGAAATGCTTCATTCCAGTTCATTCGATACGTCCGTCTACAGTGTTGTTCTTTTCATAAATTATAACGGAGATTAATTTGTAGGTTGATTAGGAAATTTGATGTAGTAGATAATATGTCCCAAATAAATGAATGACTTGTTTGCATGAATTATTATCTTTATTATTTGTCTCTTGGGTTCCTAGTGGAATATACGGCTGCAGTAGCATGTCTCCATTCCACTCTCTTCTCTGAAGTCTTTTCAACCTGGCTCCACCACTGCCCACAAGCTTTCATTACTTCCTCACATGATCTCCTCCATGTCACCCTCAGCTGAAACGCCCAACTCCTCGTTTTCCCCGTTGGATTCCGCTCGAGAGCCTGACATGTGATGTCCCTGAATGGTCTTCTCACTGTATTTTCAATCCATCTCAACTTTTTCATGTACATATATTGGGTAGTAGGCTGTTGGTTGGTTCGTTGCCAGAGTTCCTTGTTGCTTATTCTTATTATTCTGGCCATCTGATCTTCAGTATCGAGTGTAAGCGAAAGCTGTTCATGTATGTCTAGATTTTGATCAAAATGCTTTTCTTGACGCACCGAGTCTTTCAACCATCCCATCATTATCAACATAGGACCAGGCATTACTGCGTAACGGTCCGAGTTGCCACACCTCACGTCAGTTCATCAAGTAGAAAGGTAGTGAGGTGAAGGATGAAGATAAGTGAATGCAGTCAAAAGAAATATAAAGTACGAGAAGAAAGGAAAGAGGAGTGACAAAATGGTGAGATTCGGTATAGCGTTGTTAAGATGAGGATAATGTGTGTATACATCTGCGCCACTGACTTCGGTTCTGAGCCATATCACCTAGGGTCTCCAACCACTGGTTCCTCTTGTCCCGTGGACCCCAACCACCTAGTCTGCATCGTCCTACATGGCTTAAACCAACAGTCAGAGACTTCATACATTGGTGCCATGTTTTAGTCTGGCCACCTCGGGCCTTTTTCCAGCCTGAACCCACCTCAGCCAACATTGTGTGACGAGGCAATCGGTGACTAGGCATACGTAGTACGTGTCCCAACCATCTCAGTCGATGAAGGTTCACAACCTCGTCGACTGACTTACCTCTTCTCCCTAAAACTCTACACCTAACTTCTGCATTACTCACATGGTGACACCACGGAATACGTCCTATACTACGAAGGCAACGGTGGTCAAACACCTGATAGCCTTCTCATGTCTTCCACTTTCAATGGCCATGTTTCACAGCCATACAGTAGAACAGAGCGGACTGCTGTGCAGTACACGCGACCCTTAATAGACAAACGAATATCACGGCGGCGCCATAGGTGGCGCAAATTGGCAAAAGCCAATCGAGCCTTTTGTATCCGTGCAGAAATCTCATCGGCAACTAACCCACCGGGTTGATCCTACTTCCCAGGTAAGTGAAGTGGTCAACACACTCAACCACTTCACTCTCTATTGTTAACCGCGGTACCGCTGAAGACCAGTCCTGGAGCAAAAATTTGCATTTGGGTGGTGAAAATCGCATCCCAAACATTCTCAAATTCCCACTCAAAGTGTTCAGAAGACTCTGCATCTTGTCAGCGTCTTCACCTAACAGGACTATGTCATCTGCATATTCTAGATCTAAGGAAAATTCACCTGTGATTCGGTCAACGTCTTTGTAATTAGGTGACGAGAGGGAAACCTCCATAAGAATATCTATGATAAAATTAAATAAGAATGGGGATAGTGGGCATCCTTGACGGACACCACTTGATGAGTATAGCTCCCTGGACAACTCACCATAGGCTCTAACATGCCCACAAGTGTTCGAGTAGAGAGCTTTCAATAAGGTGATGTACTTACTAGGCACGCCTTTCAGTGACAGACACTGCCATAAGACTTCTCGATCAACGGAGTCAAATGCCGCCTTCAGGTCGAGAAATACAGCTATTGTCGGGCGTCTGTAAGCATGCCTATGTTCCAGGACCTGGCGCAGTGTGAATATTTGGTCGATACATCCACGGCCAGGTCTAAAGCCTGCCTGGTTTTCTCGGGCTTGCTGTTCCCGAGCTCCACTCAGGCGTCGGAGAATTATAGAACTTAGGATCTTAGACACTATGTTTGTCAGGCTGATTCCTCTGTGGTTATCACAAGAGGACTTCTCGCCTTTCTTGAAGACTGGGATGATGAGTGACTTAGACCAGTCGGAGGGGATCGTATTTGATTCCCATATACTGGCTAACACTTCCGTTAGCCTGACTAAGAGAACTCTACCACCATTCTTGTATACCTCAGCAGGTAGTCCGTCTGGTCCTGCTGCCCTTCCCGTTTCAGGCTACCTACCGCTTTCTCAACTTCTTCTAGTGTTGGGGGACCTGTCTCTATGTCCCATTCAGGGTCCGACTGGATAGCGGGCAGCGCAATGGTGGCTGGAGGCCAGTTAAACTGTTCCTCAAAGTGTTCTGCCCATCGTCCCAGTCGCCTTCCCTGCGAGTGAATCGCCGATCCGTCCTTCTCCGCTATAACCTCACTAACTGTTGTTGACCATTTCCCCCCAGTCTCCTTAATAAGTCTAAATAACTGTCTACTGTTACCGATCGCCGCTGCCTTTTCCATCTCTTTAGCCTTTGCTGCCCACCACTGTTCACGATCGTTGCGCAGACTTTTCGTCAGTTTATTTTTAAGTTGCGCTCGCTCTTCATTGTACTCAGAGCCTGCAGGGATGCATTCACGTGCATCCATTAGTTTGGAAGAAGCTGCTGATATCCACTGGCTCTTTTTAGCCATTATCTTGGAGTCGGCTACAGTCTCCAGTGCTGCTTTTACAGTAGACTGAAGATGGCACCAAGCTTCTTCTGGATGAGTGACAGTCTTTTGTTCCGATAACTGCCTAGCCAACTTCTCACTGAACACGGCTTTGGTGTTTTCGTTGTCCAGCAGAACTCGTAGTGGTTTTGTTGCCAAATTTTTTCTACGTCCATTGAGACGCAGGCATATACGTGCTCGGACCAACGCATGATCGCTGTCCAAACACGTACTCCAGAAGGAGCGGCAGTCTTCCACCGATCCTCTCCAGCGATGACTAATAGCAATGTGGTCTATCTGTGTCCATCGCTGAGTCGAGCTCGGTGGACGCCAGGTCAGACAGTGCCTTTCTTTATGTCTGAAATTTGTGCTGGCTAAAAATAGGCGGTTATCTGAGCATAGTTGTAATAGGCGATCACCGTTATCTGTACGTTCAGCTGGGATTCCGAAAGTGCCACCTAAGTGCCTTTCTGCCTCACTCAGTCTACCCACCTGTGCGTTGAGGTCACCTGCAACAACCACTACGTCCGAACGTTTGGCTTTCGAGAGGAGGTTAGACAGTTTATGGTAGAACTCGTCCTTCACTTCATCCGAACTACAGTCAGTGGGTGCGTAAGCAGAGATTACAAAGAGACAACGGCGAGTCTCACTATTCCTTTTAGTTCTCACTGTGCCGTTCAGCCTCATAGCGCAGAGGCGACTATCAACTGGGATCCAGTCTAGTAGTGAGTTTTCTGCCCTGGTGCTTAATGCTATACCTACACCTGCAAGACCACGAGAGCTAGCTATCGAATCTCCAGAAACTCGAAGGGTGAATTTTGCAGATTCACCAGATTGGTCAGGAGAGGTCAGGTGAATAACCACACTTGGGTCCTGTATGCGTGTCTCACAAACACAGCACACATCCATGCCCGAGTTGCTAGAGTCTTTGCCAACGAAGCCTGTTGGCCAATTTGACGGAGGGTGCGGACATTGAAGGCTCCAATATGTAATTTGGAGCGTGGTTTAAGGAGACCAGGGATGCTGTTCTGTGGACTCAGATCGTTGTCGAAGGCTGCAGAGGTAGGAGAAATTGAAGATGATGCAGCATCATTAATTAAGAGACGTGAAGGAAGATTAGAAGGTAATGATGGAGGAGGAGGATAGCAGTCAGAAGAAACTTGGGTGCTGACAGAGTTGTGAGGGCGGTTGACACTTCCCGGCTGCCCACACCGTGGAAGGCTATTTCTTCTTAAGGTACCTGAAAGAGATTTGTGTGACCGCAGAGCCCATCGGACATCTGCTTGAGGCCTGTCACACC